GTTTTGAAAGCTCTTTGGTCTTCATGTTTAAATATCTGGTTGAAATTCACTACCCGACAGAAGGACTTTAAAGAGTTGTAAGGGTATGTTTTACATTTGTTTCTGCAAAGTAACCACAAGTTAGGCAGGAGAAAGGGGTCAGCTACAGTATACAGTATATTCCTGTCTATAATCATATCATTTTTAAATAGTTGTTAAGAAGTTAGTTGGATCTATTGAGTTTGGAGTATTAAATTTGTAACTGAATGCAAGGCTTGTTTTGACACAAGGAGTTGGATAGAATGGATTATCTCTTTTTCACTGAACATATTTTATACTGTTTTGTTTCACATTTGATCAAAAACAGGTCACTTGAAATAAAGTTGTACTTGTTCTTCATTTATTGATCTACAGTATGGTTTCTTAATACAAGAAAATCAGTGTAAAGATTGTGTTGATTTGTTTGATGGGCTTCCAAATCTCTCTACCAAATTTTAGATTCTCAGTGATTGTACAGAAACTGTGTTGTACAGAAATGCTGTGTTTTTCATGTATTGCGCTACGGTTGTACAGCAGGTTTGTTAATATTTTATTTATAATGGTTACTTATTTTGTTTTCCTTATACAGTATCTCCTTAATATACACAGTGGTTAAAAAGCCTAGTGTTGTGATATATTTATATATATCAAATATATTATATATATATATCAAAGTGCTCTGGATGAAAAGTGATCAAGCTTTTTTATTTCAATAATACTGTATTTTCATTACATCCATATTATTGAAAAAGGACTTTGCGTGAAATTTTGTTCTGCTCTATAACACTGTATAATGCTGCAGTAATCTGTACGCTAAGGCACACTATCATACCAATCGAGGCCTTTACAGTATGCCAAATATAGTGTAAAGATCACACAAGATTTTTAAAACTGTTTAAATCTGTTAGTTGCCTTGAGCACATTACACTGTCAGCTACAGATATTTGATTATCGTGCCATTCTTTCAGTGGTCTGTCCTAAATACAATTCTAGGACACATTACATTTGTATACTCTGACTTAGGAGTGTTCCCAATTTGCTCATTCTAAGAGCATTTAATAGGACTATCTGTTTCACTTCTTTAAAGATAATAATTCAAGCTGTCTGTTAACAAGCTATTTCTACATATACAGTAGATCATAAATCACCATGTAGAGAGATTTCTACAGAAGAGAACATCGATTCTTTGCAATTTGGATAGCATTATGGTGTCCTGCAGCAAGATTCCCCCTTCTATCACCACAGTGGAGTCCTTTGTGGAGAGATGTTTTTTGAGTGAAACAATCCAGTAGATACAGGTCTGCATTTACAACATATAGCATGCTGATTCCTATGCTGTGCAATACAAAGGATTGCCTACCTCTTGTAAAACTGTACTGTGATCGCTTTCATTTTGGATTGCTAAAAATTAATATAGACATTTTTTTATTACTCGATTGCAACAAACACACTAAAACAAGCAAAATGGTGAGAACAGTTCAACACTGTTCAGCACTTTTGTGGTAAACAAGTGAACAACCAAATTGCCTAATATAGTGTGGGTTTCAATCATAGACCAGGATGACACCACATAGGACAAACACTTCTGTTTTTGTTTGTCTTTGAGTGTAAGCCATAGGCTAATTGTACCACCCTGAAATTTGGAGAAATGCATCACATGCTTATATTCAGGTTAATTTGGTACAGTTCATGATTTTTTTCTGAAATAATCCAGTAATTCAGTACACGGAATGTGAAGGTGTAGACAAAATATGCTCATGTATTTTAGTTTTAGTTGAGATTTGATCCGCAAAAATGGAAACATTCTGCAATTTAAGTATATATATTTAGATATAGCATTACTACAATACTATAACCAAATTAGGTTGCATGTACACATTAGAGTACTTGAAATCATTCCAACATCATCAAGAGTCAACCTAAATTTAAATGAGACACAGTTATGAATTTAATAAAATTTACCAATCACCATCTTGTCAAATTGCAAACATTAAACTTGTTGTGTCCTTTCTTGAAACAAGCAGTATGAGTATAGTTAGTTAGAACACAAACCATTTAATTATACACATACTGAAGCCTTTTTATGTACCCAAGTAAGCATTACAGCAGTGTAATCTTGATGAATAAATAACACATCAGTGTCTTAGCATGTAATAGTCAAAGGGGTCGTATGTACTGTATGATGTTATATTATCTGTTATTTGCAATGTTAAGTACGTAGCACAAACATTCTCTTGTGTTCTTTACTATCTTCTTTCAAAGGCTTGATCACAGCATTATCCACATATTATACTAAAGATGCCAGTGTTTTTATTTTTACCTTTAATTAAAACAAAATTGTTTGAATAACTTAAAGGTGGGGCTGCACATTGGTGGTGGAGGGGAGTCCCCATTACCTGTAAAGTGCTTTGAGTGGAGTGTCCAGAAAAGTGTTATATAAGTTTAAGCAATTATTATTTTTCATTGTTACACTAGTTTCATTGTTATTGCTAGACAACAAGGTGCAGTAAGTGGCAGTAAGTGGCAGTAAGGCCAGCTTTTGTTGTGACAGGAATCATTCTGTGCATATGGAAAACTAGAATCTAAATGGCAAAACAATTTATGCTTCACGGAAAGTTATTGTCACATTATTTCAATAAAGAAAAATATGGCTTAGAAAAGACATAATCCTATTTAGCAGCATTCTGGGAGTTAATTTGGCCACTGGCCAATGATTATGATTATCAGTAATTTGTTTTTGCAATAATGTAATACAAAGTACTGATGATTATTGTTTTTTAATCCCTTATTTACATACTCAAAACTCAGTTTAAAGCTACTGTACCTTACACAAAAAAAATTGAATTTAAAACCTTGTGGCTATATCATGAAATAACAGTTATAATTCAGGAGTATTGGGAACGATTAAGCTTGTCAATATTAAGAAAAAACTTGTAAGTCGGAAAATGAGGCAAAATAGATATATGTGAAGCAGAACTAAATAAGCAAAAACACATTTAAAAACTTGAAGTAAATATTTCTTGTTTTATTTACAGGAAAACTATACACATTTCTAGTGAAATGTTCTTGGACTAGCTATTTATCTTAATTAACAGGTAGCAAGTAAATGCCAATAAAGAGCTTTTGTACTATGAAAATAAATTAAAATGTATGTTTTCTAGTAACTACTTAGAAAATATCGATTTGTAGATTTCCATATAGAATTTGCAGTGAACAAAATCCTTATGAAAAAACATGTTATGTCAGACATTCGAAAGTAAAACCTACAATTCAATTTCATATCTTCACTTCCTCAATACATGTATCTGAAGCTTCAGTACATTCAGGCAAATCAGTCCATGGTAGGCACACATAAGACCCTAAACCTCCAAAAAGACTTAATAAGGTAAGTATGGTATTATAATAAGGAGTTATAATCATGTCTCAAAACAATTCAAAATGGATCTGAAGGGGGATTACGGTTTTTAGGAATAGTTTCAAAAAAATTGATTCAACTTAGCTAAGGTTTTACAGGATGATTTTGGCTGAAGCACTTTCTCAATGGGTGTAATTGCAGTGTCCCACCTGAGATGAGATGAAAAAACAATATCCTAACTCTCTGGGGTAATTAAAAATGCCACAGTATTTCTCAAAGATTCCCATCTATGAATTGGCTCTCTGTTCTCCTTCCCACTGATAGCTGGTGTGTTGTGAGTGTACTATGGCTGCTGTTGAATCATCTAGGTGGGGCTGCACACTGGTGGTGGTGGAGGGGAGTCCCCATTACCTGTAAAACACTTTGAGGAGTGTCCAGAAAAGTGCTATATAAGTGTAAGGAATTATTTATTATTTATCTATAGTCTCTGGGTTCTGACAACTGCTTTTTTTAAGTAGATAAACACTTATAATTAAAAAAAATAAAAATGTAAACCAACCTAGTACAAATGTCAATTCATTCTACTGATGTAATTCTTCACAGTGTCATACAGACTGTAAATGTTTTAATAAATCTATTTATTATTTTTTTATGAATTATTTATAAATAATTAACACATCTGGGATTTTTTTAGTTTCACACAGGAGTTTTAAGAAAGTAGTGTGATGCTGTGGGGTTGCCACAGGGTGGATGGGACACAATGCATAGACCCATGCCAAGGTCAGCAGATAGATTTTTTTAAAAATTGCTTTGATTTACAGTACTTTGATAACAAACACAACAAGCTAAAATAAACCCTAGATCCTCTCAAGCTTCTTAATAAACTGGAAAAGGGTAACCAACTACATACAGCTTGACAGCTAGGCTGCTCACCAGCAATCAACTGTCTTCTTAGCATCTTCAATTCCAACAATTTCCAGGATGCTCAGAGAGATTAAGGGATTTTAAAGATGCCCTTAAACAGAAACACTTGTTAAGAACATCTATGCTAAGATTAGTAAGTGGCACACATACTGTAGCAAGCAACATTGAGTGCATCAGCAAATTAAAATCTTTTTACTAGTCAATCTGCCAGCTGTTGTTCATGCGTACAGTATTTTTATCTTCTTGACATTGCAATTAAACATTGTAAAAAGTTTACAGAATGTTATAATATGAGCATTTTAAGATAATTACTTCTAAAAGTGCTGTATAAACACACGTTGTGTTACATTGTACGTAAAAGTACATTATATAAATTGCAAAATACCTTAAAATCATACAAGTCTCCAGTAAGATGGAGAAGCAATATCTCCAAGTTATAACAATAACTTGCACTTTAAAAGGTTTCATAATTACTCTCATTATCGATTAAATAAATAACAAGTTGCCAGAATAAAATCTGAAAAAGAGTGGATGGTATGTACTACCACAGTTCAGTAGCCCTGGTCTAGAGAGTGAGCTCACCAGTGGTACAATAAAGCTTGAGAAAGACATAACTTTTATCTCATCAATTAAAGGTCTCTAAAACATTCTAGTGATAATAAAGAGTGCCTAAATAATGATCATAAATACAAATTGTATTTGCTTCAACAATTTTATTGTTTAATTTTTTGGATGTATAATAGTTCCATGCTCTGCTATATTCCTCATCAGGAAACAGGTGTCCACGTGATTCTAATGTAGGAATTGTGGTCCATGCACAGCAGCCCACAGATATCTAATAGCTGGCGATGACCTAGATAAGAGAAACGTCAACAGAGTGTCTAAAAAGTACCATACATTTACTAAATGTTTAGTTCTTAATAAAGACAAAAGAAGTATCTTAAGAAAGAAAGTTAAAGTTGTTTTGAAGCAATACAATAATTTTAGTATAAAAATCACAAGAAATGTGATTATATTTACAGAAAGTACTGACTTTTTCCTCACTTGAAGTGCAGCTCCTACCTGAGGGGTGTACCTCATCCACCCAAATATGCAGTCGATTCAGTAGAAAGTGAGATATTTCTTTATCAACAAACTTAAAGGGTTTTTTAGAAGCACCACATTATACAAGTTAAGATATGAATTTAGCCAGGTCACCTTAATTTAACATTTTATTCCATTCTGGTCCAAATGGAATGGTGCTACTGTATCTACTAGTCCACCAACACCACTTATAGCAGGAGTCTAGTTTACCTTCTCCAATCCCAATATTGGGGAAAATGAAAAGTATCACCGCAACACCACTTAAAGACTTTTGGTTTAAGCTTTCAAACTGATTTAGAGTCATAAGACAAAGGTGTAGATTGCAACTCACAGTGTTGATCCAGCCAATGTACGCAGAGATGCGTGTGAAGACGTCGGGCTTCTGGGAAACATTGCAGCCCAGGGAAGACATAAAGCTAAAAACTCCATGTACTTCATATCGTCCATTTATATAGCAGTTCAGGGCTCCCCCACCATCCCCCTGCAAAATCATACAGATTAGACGTTTGCATTGTACTCATAAACCATACTTGTGGTCTGCTCAATGTGTTAAAAAGTGTGCAAGGCAGACCAGTAAGAGAAAAACTGTATTTCTGTGATAAACTGTCTTAACCCAAGTATAAAATCACTTCATGTAACTGTGAAATAACAGACTCAAGAAACAGAGAAATATTAAAACTGAGACACTGCTGAAACCAGAGAAAAAGTTAAAACTGAAATATTGCTGAAACTTTTGCGGAATTCCTCCAACTTATCAAAATCCATCATGGCTATGTCGATGCAATTAGCACAGGCTTGTGCCCAAAGTAGGCTGAGCTTCTGTAGGAAGAGACTTGTCTGCAGAATGAGTCTGGAGTAGTAATACTTGCAGCACAGCCTGATCTGGCTCCATCTCCACCAGCACAGATCATGGTGGTCTTTACAGTTGATCCCCACCAGGAGCTGCTGGAGCAGGTGCTATAGCTTATAATGAGGATGGAAGCCTGTTGAAGGGTAGCTGACAGCTGTCCATAGGCTGTTGACAAAATTCACAATGTCATTGAGTTTGAAGCTTCAGTAGAACTATTGACTATTTAATAAGAATAAAATAAGAAATCAGAAAGGCTGTTATGTGCTACTGTCTATGTTTGAAGCAACTGAAATGTCATATAACTATAGAGAACGCATATTAAGTTGGAATGGTTTTTACAATGTCACCTTATATTAAAAATTACTTGGAAATCATCCAACCAAATTAGAATTGTCACTCAGGATTTGGGAAAATGGCTACCACATAGGGACACTAAGGACTGGTAGACATGCACCTTTTACAGTAAATGTCCTTTTACAAGCTGTAAACTCATGTGGCTGATGCTGTAGCCCAGGCACAAGCCTGTGATTTGTGGATCTTAGGAATGTAAAACATTAGCATTCTAGTAATGTCTGACCTTAAATGTCTTATTATGCAAGAGGCATAACTACGTTGGCACAACCAAATACAACATAACAGGTTTTGCAAACTTACTGCTTGTGCGTCCCCAGCCGGCAAGGTAGCAGTAAGTGCTTGGAAGGATGGCACCACTGCTGGGCAGTGTCGCCACATTGACATAGGTGTTCAGAATGGCATCCTGAGTCAGCTTCAGCAAGGCAATGTCATATCTGAAGATGACACAATAAGCACAGGAAGAATTCCATGCAGTTAAACAGGATATGAAGGAATAATGCACAGCTTTCTGAACTAAGACACGCTCTACTGAAAGGTTTATCACCATTCCACAGGTACACCTAGACTTGCATGCATTAGAGAGGGGTGTTTTGTAAATTTCTGTAACACTATTCTTCATAATATGCTGCCATGCATATGGCAGCCTGCAGAAGGTACTTCTGCCAATTAGTATACAAGGTGATATAAGAATTGAAACAGTTTTATGCTGTATGGGAATGTCAGTCATTCCAAAATATATATACTGTATTGAAGATGAATATTAAGAATATTGCAGAAGTGGTGGTAATTTAGAAAAGAGACTGTACGCAGTATGTAAAGAAGCACATTGCATTTGTACAGTAATTTTTCAAGTATCTGTCAAATACCCTTTTGCACTTCATAATAATGTACATAATTGTTATTTATATAAGATTTTCATGTGAAATCAGCTTAAAGTGCCAAAAATAAAATGTTCTGTCTGCTCTGTTGCTGTGATGTAGAGATCAACAACACTGGACTAGGTTCATTGAGGAACTAGGAAATTCACTTTTCCTGGAAGTCCTGTGTTTGTAGTTTATTATTCTCATCTTTTATTTTTTAGGACATATTGAAATTCCATTTTAATATGTTGTTTTTGTTCAATAGTCTTTCTGCTCTTGAATCCTATTTTACATCTTCTGCATCTTATTGCATTCCCACTTGAATCAGAGTTCCACTCAGTAACAATCCCATACAAAATGTGTGTCTTAGGGTTTTCAAAAATGCTTACTTTGTGCACATTTACTGTAATGTTTTTTACTGGTTAGTACCTGGATGGAGCCAGTAGGGGGAACTCACCCTGTGGTCTGTGTGGGTCCTAATACCACAGTGTAGTGACGGGGACACTATACTGTAAAAAAGGCGTAATCTTTCGGATAATACCCCTAATCAAAGTCCTGACTCTCTGTGGTCATTAAAAATCCCAGGGC